ATCACTTGATATCCCAGATTGTCAGAATTAGGGATAGTGTTTAAAACCTGAAAAAGGTAGTTTCCTCTTATTTGACAAATATTTATTTTCTTTCCCTGTGGTGGTCCTGTGCTGGGCTCTGGGGAACATGGCCACCCCCTTGTCTGAGCATCAGTGGCAGAGTGGGTGTGGGGAGAGGAAGGGTGGGGCACCACGCAGGCTGGTGCCCTGGGCTCAGGTCCTGGCTCTGCACTTATCAGCTGGTGACCCTGGGTCCATTTTCTCATGAGCTCTAAGATCCCCTCTGTGTTACAGTTTTTAGGAGAGGGCTCGGTCTGTGCCTGGGCACCTCTTGAGGGCAGCTTGGGGGAGGTGGGGACAGTGTAGGGGTAGAGATACAGGTTGAGATAAAGGGGGAGGGTTTGGGGAGCTGGCTTGGGCTTTGGACAAGGGAGAGTGGTGGTCTGTGGAGGCTGGGGCCCCTTGTTCCAGTAGTTTGGGGGAGAAGAGTCCTGTTGCCCCACCCAAGCTTCCCACAGCCTCAGCTGTGGGTACCAGTGAGCTGTAAGCCATGTTTCCTTCTCCACCATCTTGAAATCTTGCAGCCTCAGGACCAAGGCAGGACTTCAGAGCTTCAGTTCCCTCTCGGGCCTTCTCCCTTTCACCCCCAGCCCTGGTCTCTCCTCAGTTTCTGTACAGCTGCCCAAGCTGAGGTTATTGCTGGGGACCGTGGTCACCACCTGTTGGTCACTTCATGATGTGTCAGCCCCCAGTTCCTTGTCTCTGCCCTCTTGACTCCCATCTCTCCTCTGCCTAGGGCACCTCTCACCCCTACCTGGCAACTTTCTGTTTCCCGTCCCTTCCAGCCCCACCCTTCCTCTCCTTCCCCTGCCCCTACCTGGCCTCTTCCTGTTGGATTGGCATTTGGCAGATGGTGCTGGGGCTATTGCAGAGAGTGGAGTCCGAGGGACTCTGATCCTTCTCTTCCACTAGCCATGCTCGGGCCGTGAAAGGACCTCACACGAGCATCTCCTTGTCTGATCTAGAGGCTCCCACAAAATCATCCTTCACTCCTGAGGTCCCCAGCATATCGTCTGTGCCCACCCTCACTGAGTAACAGACTGTCCCCATCCCATTTTTTTGAGGCCCTGACTCCCTGCCAGGGAGAGATCTGTCTGGACCTGTACCCCAGGATAAGGCCAGCAGTTTATCACATGTCCCCCTGCATAGTTGAATTCTCCCTACCCATGGCCCCATCTTCCTGGTTTATAGCCACGTGTTTAACAGCTCTAACTCCACCCACCTTGCTCACCTTGCCTTTATCACCTTTCTTACAGTGGTTTTTGACCAGCTTCTCCCCAGGCTCTTTTAAGCCCTAACCAACTGGCACCAACTTCTATTCCCCACGTTGACATCAAAGACATCCCTTCCCCAGCAAGCGCAGGACCCCTCAGTCCAATACGCTCCCCTTTGCTGATTCCAGTTCCACTGAATTCTCTACACCTCCAACCCTGGAAATCTATTTCTTTCTGTTTTCCTGGCTTCATCCAATTTCTCCTTCTTCTACCCAACCCACACTGTGACATCTTCCGAATGAGACCTTCCCTACCCTCAGCTCTCCTTCCTCCCAGAAGCTGGCCTCATCCCATATCCCTGGAGACTGAGACATAAGGGGTGTCTTCCTGGCTCTCCTGTTCCTTTCCTTGCTGCTAGAGGGGCCAGACCAAGGGACTCAGGGTCAGCGTTTTGTCCTGCACCTGGACCTGTGCCCTCCCCTCTGGATCTCGGGCTCTTTCTGGGCTGAGATTAAGGAGTGGTGGGCTCAGGCCTGACCTTCTGCTGGTTGTGGGGGTGGGGAAGCAGTGCGGGTTTACCCCGCCAACTCCTGAGATTCGGTAGATGGGAAAGCACACTGGGGCTGAGAGCCTGGATGTGTGTGTAGCTGGGGGATGCGTTACAGCTGTTGAAGTTCAAGTCAGTCACTCCCAGCTTCCAGCACGCCCATGTGATAGGAACACAGTGTGGGGGTATCTCTGGGTTGACCCATAAGCAGCAGCCAATTCAGGAGTGGGAGATGGGAGATGAGGGGTCCCCGCACATGGGGTGGTGGAGGTTTGCTGCCTCATTTCTTTGACTTGTCTTGACCCTATTGGAGGGTGCCTTCCTGGACAGAACCTTTGCTCTTCCCCTGCCTCCTCAGACCTGGCAGACCTTCCTAGCTGCCCTCTGCCGTGGTCCCAGCCATACCATGGATGACTGCCCTGGATGCATCATAGTGCTACTCAGCAGTATGGTCCCTTGAAGGACCTCTGACCCTGTCCTGTCTCCTGACCCACATCAGCCCACCCATAGCAGAACCTTAGGGATGACTCTGAATGATCCCTTCCAGCACCTAGACTTGTCTTTCCCAAACCAGGATCTAGATCTGGGGTTGCCTGGCCCAGGTGACTAAAGGGAACTTCACTACCTGGTGGGTCTAACCCATCAAGACAGAGCCTAAGAGCCTAGAGGATGACCTCTTCCTGGGGGTCTTCTGGTGCCTCTTTCCCTCTTCCTTCAGTATCCACTTTTCTCTCCTCTCCCACCCTCCCCTGGATGGGCGATGGGTGGGACCTCCCCAGCGTGGAGAGTAAAGGGAGGGGCTGGCTAATGAGGGCTGGGGATGGGCACCCTCACTTGGCAATCTCAGGTAGTAGGGTCAGGGAAGCTTCTCTGATTCTCCCCTCCTTTGCTGTGAGTAGAGGGGTCTCAGTTCCTGGACCACATTTACAATTTCTCTTCTCTCTTCCCTCCTCCTGGGTTCCCCCTTCCCACCTTCTGCTGCCCCCAGTCAGGGCTTGGTTTGGTGTGACATGTAATTGGAATCCATCTTTGGCAGAAGAGGGTACAGCTCTAGAACACACTGCCAGGAGGAGTCTCTAAAGTTAAGGATAGAGAAGGAATCGTCCTCATTTAGTAGTAACTTCTTAAAGGGGGAAATTTTTTTTTTTTAAGGAAAAGCAATCCCAGAGCTCTCAGCCTGATCCAGCCAAAAAAAAAAATACTTAGAAAGAGTCGGGGCAGGACTGAGACCCCTCACTCCCTCACCCCCACCCACCCATCCTCATATTCATATTGTTTCTTTAAAGTCATTCGATGAACTTTCCACTTCCTGGAGGCCCATAACATAAGCTGGCAAACAGAATGGCTTATTTTTATCTCTGTGTCCGGGCCTGGGAAGTGGTAGTGGCTAGATTTTAAGTCTGAGGAATGGAGTTTACTGAACTCACAGCTAGGGTTCAGTAGGGCCTTTCTATCCATCAGCACAGCCAGGGCGTGGGGTGGGTGGGGCAAAGTCTCAAGTTTCAGCTCCAACACTTCCTGGGTGCCAAAGCTATCTCAGCCTCCTAAAAACAAAAGACAACCCCAAAAGTTTTAATCATACAAATAGTCCAATGTATATATATAAATAAAGAAAATATTATGATAACCCCCATGGACCCATCACCCAGCTACGACAGTCCTCCACCCTTGGCTAATCTTGTTTGCTCTCTACACCCACCCTCACACACTGCCCCTCTTCCCAAACCCAACATTACTTTTAATTAAAATTTTTATTGAGATCTTGGTAAATTTGTATGTAGTTGTAAGAAATAATTCAGAAAGATCCCTTGTACACTTTCCCCCATCTTCCCCCATGATAACTGCTATAGACTAAATGAATATTTGTGTCCCCTGAAGATTTATATGTTTAAATCTCATCCCCAGTGTGTTGGTATTTGGAAGTGGAGCCTTTGGGAAGTGACTAGGTGATTAGTGCCCTTATAAAGACAGCCGGGAGAGCTGCTTTGCCTCTCCCACCATATGGGCACACTGTGACAAGATGGGTATCCATGAACCAGGAAGTGGTTCCTCATCAGACATGGAATCCGCCAGTGCCTTGACCTTGGGCTTCACAGCCTCCAGGACTGTGAGAAGTCAATTTTTGTTGTTTAGCCACCCAGTCTATAGTATTCTGTGAATAGCAGCATGAATGGACTAAAGCAGTAACATTTTGCAAAACTATTCTATATTATGACAACCAGGATATTGACATTCACATAATCCACCAATCACATTCACATTTTCCAGTTTTGTACAAATGTGTGTATTAGTATTAAGTTCTATATAATTTTATTACTTGTGTAGGTCCCTGTATCCACCACCACAGGAAGGGAAATGAGCAGTTCAACACCAAAGACAAACTCTGGTGCTACCCTTTAATGACCACACCCAGCTCCCTCCCACCACCTCCCCTTCTTCCACTTCATCCCTGACACTTGGCAATCTGTCTTCCATTTCTAAATTCTTGTCATTTATAAAATGTTGTATAAATGGAACCATTCAGCATGTTAAGTGTTTAAAAATGTTTTATTTTTTAATAGAAGTACTGGGGATTGAACTGAGGACCTCGTGCATGCTAGGAACGTGCTCTACCACTGAGCTATTTCCCTCCCCTACAGTGTGTAATTTTGGGGGGTTGGCTTTTTTGCTCAGCGTAATAACCTGGCAATTCATTCAAGTGGTTGTGTGAATCAATAGTGTGCACCATCTGATTGCTGAGTAGTAGTTGATGGTGTGGGTAAATCACAGTTTAACTCTTTACCTGTTGAAGGACATTGGGTTGTTTTCAGTTTTTGGCCATTATGAATCAAGCTGCTATGAACATTTGTGTATAGTTTTTGAAATGCCCAGAGATATGGAATTAGTTACCACATTCTGAGGGCCAGGGGTGCTTACTGGGTCCATTATTGTTTCTATGGGCTTTTCAGTGCACAGAATTAGTATATACTTTAAAAATTAAGCTAAAAAACTAAGCTAAAATACAACATGGGTTAATAAGATACATCCTAAATTTAATATAGGAAATTTGCACAGCATCAGGGAGTTTATATTTGTATGTCTTTTCTCCTATTCCAATATTCCAGTTGAGATAACATCAAAATAATTATGCTCTATCCTACCCATTTTCACCTATTCCCAACAATATGACTACTGAATACAATTTAAGATTTTATGGCAGTTTTTTTTAATAGTAGTAAATTTTGTCCTTAGGGTAGATCTTTGGGATGTATAGCTAAATTACTTTGTTTCCAAGTCATTCAGAAGACTTTTCTTCTGTGTAGTTAGGCTACCAACTAGATATACATTTAGATTCGTTTTTACTTTCAACTTTTAGAGACTGAGTTTTTAAAATTAATTTTTATCATATAATCATGTAAAACATACACGTTTCCAAAGTCAGATATACAAAACAATGTATATACAGATGATCCCCGACCTTATAATGGTTTGACTTAAAATTTTTCGACTTTATGATGGTGTGAAAGCAATAAGCATTCAGTAGAAACTGTACTTCAAGTTTTAAATTTTGATCTTTCTCCCGGGCTAGTGGTATGTGGTACAGGACGCTCCTGTGATGACACTGGGCAGAGGCAGTGAGCTGCAGCTTCTGGTCAGCCTTGCAGTCACTAACCATTCTGTACCCATACACTTTCAGCACAGTATTCAATAAATTACATGAGGTGTTCAGCACTTTATTATAAAACAGGCTTTGTGTTAGATGGTTCTGCCCAACTATAGGCTAATGTAAGTGTTCTCCGCACATTTAAGGTAGGCTGTTATGATGTTCAGTAGGTTATTTGTATTAAATGCATTTTTGACTTTTAGGATATATTTATCTCGACATAACCCTATCATAAGTCCAAGAAGATCTGCAGTGGAGGGAATGGGCGTACTTTCCTATTCCTGACTAGCAGGAAAGCCTCTAGTTTCACCACTGAGATCCTCAAAACTTTTTTTTTTCTAAAATGTGGTAACGCCATCCATTGTTGATCTTCCACAGCATTTCCTGAGAAGATAAAGGATGTGAAAAGAAACTGAAAAGTGGCACACAAACATGTCTGTTGACTAAGTATTAACCACTCTGGGAGAGCCTTAGGAGAGTTGAACCCAAGTTAGTACTTTTTACACAAGAAGAAAGAGGCTCACAGAACTGAGAGGACCTGCCCCCAGGAACGGCGAGAGCTCCAGTCTCTTGCCCTGCAGTCCAGGGTTCCAGGATATGTCCACAAAGCCTTTCTTTTTTAAAACTGTACTCAACATAAACATTTATTGTTTATACAGATGAATATTTTACGGACCCCTCGAAGAGGAAAAAGTCACAAAAGGCCGTAGGGCTGAATGAGGCAGTCACCGCTCGGCCAACCACGATCGCCCAGGGTTCTAGGACAGAGCCCGGGGTTGGGGTCAGCGAGCCACACCCACACTCATAGTTGGGGGGCTCCGGTCGTAGTTCAGGAATGACCGAAAGCCTGGAGATGCTGTGGAGGCATAGAGTAGGGAGATCCGACGCGGGGGCGCTGGATCGTTAAGTTAAAGCTGTCCTATTTGGTGCCCCAACAGAAAGGGCTGACACACTCCGGATTCCAGCAGAAGCCAGTTGACGATTCGACCAGGCAAGGATGCCGTAACACAGGTTTCAGAAGGAGAAATGGTCCTGATGAGGACCCGTAGGGTTTCGCCGGGTGTCAGCTCTAAAACCCCAGCCTAGAGGCGGGGCGAGGTTATGCAGGCGGAAGCCCGCCGGGAGACAGGGGGCGGAGGAACGGAAATGACGGTTAGGAGCATCAATGGGGCGGGGCGAGGGCTTGTCTCTCCGCCCCCTTGCGTACGGTTTTCGGTAGCGGCGTCTGAGAGGGGCGGGGGAAAGGTGGCCAGTTCGAGTCCTGCGACCCTTGGCCCTCAGCGATCCCGCATTTCTGTACATTCCAAGATGATGGGCTGTGAGAAGTCAGAGCTAGAGTCGGTGGGAGGGGGCGAGGCCTTGGCGGCCCCAGGGCCACCCCCAGAACCTCGCGCCCCGGACTCCGCA